GGTTTGGGGCTGCCAGTGAAGGAGGTCTCACAATCATTTAATATATATCATATGTATAGGCATTTTGATTTTATGCAATGATAGATGATGACAAACATAAAGAAGAAATTGTAAAGTTTTACAATTATTTGAACAAGTACAATCTCTTCTGTAGGATTAAACATGTTAGTTGTAGTTGTTTGAATGAAGAGTGGAACGACACTCAGAAGAATTTCTTTAATCTCCGAAAAAGGTGTCTTTATAACAATAAAGTGTGAGGTACTTCATTAAATGTATTTGTTTTTTATCTATATCTATACTATTATATAAAGAGGTAATGTAAGTTTGTTTGTATGATTTGAATAGGCTCCGAAAGTACTTGGCAGATTTGAAAAATTCTTTCACTGTTGGAAAGCTACATCATTCCTGAGTGTCATAGGCTATATTTCATTTAAAAAAAAAATAGGCATCCTTACTAAAATTAAGATAACGTAATCCAAGGTGTTAAAAAAAAAAACAAAAAACTACCTTACATCTACCGCCCTCTACAGGCAGCCAACGCATTTCCTGTCAAACATTCAAAACATATTGAAATAAGGAATTGGAGATAAAAATTTAATTTTTTGTTCAGGTTCAGTAAGAAACGAAGTCCTGCCACCCAAGAAGTAGAGTTTGGGTCGTCGTAATCGTAATACAGAAGCAAAAAGACGTAAGATTACGAATATAACTGACGAAGAACGGGCCTCCATCCGAGAGACTGAGCGGCTGAGAGCAATGCAGATGCACAAGGAACAATCAGCAGAAAGACGAGCAGATAGGCTTGAGAGAAAACGATTAAGAGTTAGACAGTCGCGTTCTGCAGCAATCAATTTGATTCACTCTCAAAATAATGAACGCGACAGGGCAAGGTTAGCTGAAGCGCGTTTACAGCTTGCAGAAGATCAGACATAATCCAACTATTGATTACAGCTCGAATCGAATGTCGTTATTGGCCGGATGAATCAGGTCTGTCAGGCCTCTTAGATTGAATCAGACGAAACTTCGGTCCGAGGAATATATCCATTTGCGGGATGCTGTGATGAATGCTGCAACTCTCTTGAAGGATGGCAAAACTGCTCATTCTACTTTTAAACTTCCACTATCCGTCAATCTTGAACAACAATCTACATGTTCAATCCGCAAAAATGGACCAATTGGTAAATTACTACAAGACGCCTCATTGATTATGTGGGATGGATGTGGATGTGGAATGCACGATGAGCCATAGAGCACATATAGAGGCCGTGAACAGAACCTTACAGGATCTAAGGAACTCCTCTGCAGTCATGGGCGGGATTACTTTTGTATTTGATGAAGATTTTCGACAGACTCTACCCGTTATTAACAGAGGCACGCGAGCAGAAATCATCAAGGCATGCTTGAAATCGTCTCCCATATGGACTACGATTGAAACGTTAAAATTAAGGACAAATATGAGAGCTCATCTTCATGGAATCACTGATAGCGATTTCCCACAGCAACTGCTAAAACTTGGGGAAGGAATTTTTCCAACTCAATGTGACATTCTTCTGGATGAGTCTCTAGGCCAAATACTCGATAATTTGGAAAATTTAATAGATTCTGTATACCCTGATATCGAGAATTTGCACGAAAGAGACTTCCATTGGCTGTGTTCTCGGGCTATAGTATCACCTAAGAATGATACTGTTAATGAAATAAATAATCTGATTGTTCAAAAAGTCCCCGGCCAAATACAAATCGATCGACACTGTAACGAATATTGAAGATGCAGTCCATTATCCACAGGAATTTTTAAATTCGTTGAACCCTTCTGGACTGCCACCCCATGAATTGACGTTAAAAATCGGAATCCCAATCATGCTTTTAAGAAATTTAAACCCTCCGAGCATGTGTAATGGGACGAGGCTGCTTATTAAGGAGTTAAAGGACAATTTAATAGTAGCAAATATTATCACTGGCCCAGCAAGTGGTCAACTAGCTCATATACCGAGGATACCGATGATCCCAACTGATCTGCCAATCCCATTTAAACGGCTTCAATTTCCGGTAAAAACATCTTTCGCATTAACAATTAACAAGTCCCAAGGCCAAACCTTCGAATTAGTAGGGATCGATCTGCGAAATAAATGTTTTACTCATGGTCAACTGTATGTTGGTCTATCGCGAGTCGGAGCCCCTGAAAATCAATTTATTTTGCTGCCACAAAATAAAATAACATCAAATATTGTTTACAGAGAAGCACTAACTAAATAAATGTAATGAACTCAATAATTGAAAAAAAAGGATGAATATGTGTCATATTATTATTATTATTATGAATGTGTTAAAATTGACTAATCTAAATGTAATGTTTAATTCCCGTGCGAAGCAGGGACGGGCCGGCTAGTATATAATATTTTGTAGGGTAGTTTTGAATACCTTATTATGAGATTTCAAAGCCGTTGTCGTTTATGGTCTCTCAAATAAGCTACAATTTTTATACTTTTGCTAGGAAACATATTTTAAATAGATTTAAATCAATCTAACATTAAAACAGAGACATACAAAATCAATTATACAAATATATTAATTTTTAGAACATTTATTTATAAAGAATAAAGAATGAATGTAAGACTCCTACTTATTAGATTAATTTAGGTGTTTTAATATTTCTTATTTACTTTTTCTGTACCTCTATTATTTTATCTTTGGCACAAAAACATCTAAAAATTTCCCACCTAAGGCACAAATTTTCTGTAGCTTTATCATACATTTCTCACCCATAAAGAACAATTACGAGCCATTGTCTTATCCCATGCTCATCCACAGCGAGACAAAGGCCAGCAGATTCGGATGAGGAGATGATATACGAAAGGGGTGAAAACTGTTAAAAAGTCTTTAGTCATCGCCCCAAATGATTTCATGTCTCTGAGCCATAATAATGGCGGCAATAAATTCGCATTAAGAACGCCTTGAGTAAACCCAATGGACCGCAGATGTTCCGACGATGATCTTGTGGAATGACTTCGTGTAACCCAAACTCAGCTGAGTTGATCCTGAGCCCATCTTGGGCTGGGTGTACCTTCAGCTAATTGCGTTTAATTCGGTCAAAGAACCCGCATTTTGCTTTTTGTTTTATGCAATCATAAAAACGCCCTTTCAATCAATAATGTATAAAGATGTGCTCAGTACTATTTTATGCCATGCCATACCCATGTTCGATTCCACTCACTCAACTCGTGCAACTCGTGGACGGAAGTTGCTGATTTTGTGACTTTACCAGATCGTTTAAGATTGATTGATCAATGTTTTACGATCACCTACGATGCCTCGGTCAACGACTCGCTCTGTGGGTCTTTTGATCTTGGTGCTTTGCTTTTGCTACGAGCGGCACAAGCGTTTGTTCATTAAATCGCAGGATGTTATCGATCATTGCATAAATTAACAAATGACTTCAAATCGCCTCCTCGAAAGGTTCCCACACCGTCACAGTTGCAATAAATATTTATACCCACAATAGATGTTATGCCATACAATAATAGTAAATCGAAATCACAAATGTTAAGTAGTAACTCAAGATATTTGGTACAAATAATGGTGGCTATTTTATAAAGATGTATTGAAGAGTATATATCGTGTACTCATCGATCACCAAATAATTTAACTAGACTTTTACATACATTTAAAGTAGTCTTAACTCAAAGTAAAATAATGGTAATTGATAATCCTATCAATTAAATAAAATATGTATTTTTTAAATAGTATAAAAATTTACTAAAGCAATTTGTATTTGTATTGTAATTTCAATATCTATGGCTGTAAGAAATCAAATATCCATAACTTTTCTATTCCATTTCAATTCATTCCATTTCATTTTATTTTTCGTCACTATCACTTTGATATTCGACATTCACGTAGCTGACCTTTTTATTTATCTCCATAGAAATTGTCGTATGAAAATCGAGATGGAAAAGCAAACTCACCTTTTTATCTACATACATATATTCATAGTATGTCTGCAAGGCAGACAGAGGTATTTTTTATTGATGAAATTGGTTTGGCAAAAAGCTCTTCTCCATTTGCAAAGTAGACAATTTGCCGCTGTGCAAATTGCAGTCCTGGGAATAGACCAATTCTAGGAAGAGTTGGTGGGGGTAGCGTATACATATGTTGGCAGCGTTCACCGTTTGCAATTTATATATTTTTTATTGTCAAATTTTGCAGAGACACAGCTCCAAGATGAATATGGAAACGGCGCCGCGTTGGAGTTGAACTGAAGAAGTGTGTGGGGTGGCAGGTGGCGGGATAGATGACTTACCCTTGTCTCGATCGTGATATTTGATATCCTGTGGCCGGACACTTTGGGGAATAGAAAAACAAAACTCACGTATGCCCCGCCTCGCCCACTCATGAGTTAATCATATGAGTTTGAATATTCGTGTTTCTAATTCACATGAAGGTACATATGATTTTTTAATGCCTTCTTTGGCTCTTTGTCGATGTTCTTCAGGGTTATTGGCATGTCCTTCAGGCGATTGTTTGTCATGTGAATTGGAAAAGGGGTAGTCAAACTTCTTATTGACATTTAGACATTGAATGTAATATTTTTTTAATTACTCTTAACCCTTCCTTTTAAAAAGAATAACAATTTCCACACACATATTTGCTTAATAAATTCAATTTATTTTGAAAACATAAAAATACTTAGGATATAGATTAATGTTTGTCTTCATAATTGTTATTATTAATATTACATACAATATTTTGTTGAACATTAAAATGAAAATATATATATATGTGTGTATATATATATATATTTGTTTAGCTGTTTTTACATAAATATACATAATATGTATAAATAAGTTAAAAAATTTATTAATTAGACTAAATTCATTGGAATGATATAATATCAAAATAGTTTTGCATAATACAGCGATTTTGTTAAAATTTCACAACTATCTAGAAGCGAAAACTTGGAACATTTTTGTAATTTTCTTGTTGTTTCTTTTTTGTTTCTAGCTTGCAATTTGTTTTATATGTTTGATTCATTTTGTTTTACATTTTACAGAGTACGACACGCACGGTTTATATCGAGGGATCTTTTGATTTTCATTTGTTTTCTGGCACTCGAACCACGGAAATACAGAGTCACATACATAAAGAAAAGAATGGAAACTCGATTTGATCTGGAATAGCTTTGGTATGTCCTAAGATGAGAGTTCAGCGAGCTATATGGCAATAATATTTAAATTGTAATGAGAACTGGAGACTGACTATAGTGAGTTTGACTTGCATTATTTCGTATTTCTTTGGTATTTTATTTTTTGGCAACATTGGAAATATTGTGTAACTGGCTGGCTTAAAATTATTTAAATGGTTTTAATTTCATCTGTTCTTTGGAATCGCTTCAAGCTACGGCGAATGCTTGACCATCTATTGCACATTGATTGCGGTTGGTTTGGAACTGGGCCTGCTGCTCCTGTTATACCAGCAGCGACACCTTCTGACAGTTGAGGCCGCCGCCCATCTGGGGGGGTCCCCCGTTCGGAGGCGGTGCACCCTGGTTCGCCGGGGACACTCCGCCGCCCGCTGCCGCCGCCGCTGCACTCAGCTCGGCAGAGGCCGCCGCCGCTGCTGCTGCCGACATGAAGTCCACCTTGCCCAGGTGGACGCGCAGGTCCGTGTGCTGGGTCTCCTTGTGGCGCCGCAGATCCACTTTGCGCTGGAAGGACTTGTGGCAGAGCTTGCAGGAGAAGGGCTTGTAGCCGGTGTGCTTCCGAGAGTGCGTTATCAGGTTGGAGCTCTGGCTGAAGGCCTTGCCGCACACCTGACACTTGTGCGGTTTCTCACCTGAAATGACAGAGGAAAAGAGAGAGGTGTTAATTAAGTGGAATCAATAGATGGTTAAAAGGATGCAGTTAGGCTTATTCAGTTGGCTTAAAAAAAGGAGAAGGTACTCTTACAACTAATACACTTTACTCTAAGCTTAATATTAACTGAGATATTAATTTGAAGTATTTTTAATGTATTTCAATTTCATTAATTTACTGGGAAATCAAAATATACAAAACATTTTTTCTTGTTTGTAACTAATATAATAAATTCCTTAAATTTCTTAATAATTGTCCAAAGTCCTTCTTAGTAATATTATCATTATTACGATCTGTGTACTATACCAAAATCATAGCTTTTCTTAGAGATTCTGACTTCTCTTCATATTATTATCGTGTGCTCTTAGAAAATCCCTTTTTTCAACAAACACTTTCCTTCCACATTCGCCATTTTATGCGACTTTCCTGCTTTCAGGACTCAACCGATTCCTCCCCCTCTCCAATACACACAGATGCAAAAGCCGAATGCCTCCCATCTCAAGCGTCATCCCCAAAAAAAAAATCGTATCGTAGCCAGACAGAAAAGCATTCCCCGCTCTGAATTTTGGGACCCCAAAGATTCCATGTAAGTCATCTCCGCAGACCACAGGCAGGAGGTTCATCCACCCCCAATTATTTTCTCCCTCTCAGCGACAATGGATGTCCTGGAAAAAAGTACCCTTGCAGAGGATGCTTTGGTTTTGACAGAATTTTCAGAATGCATTTTAAATGACATTTTATAATGTTAATAGTGTATTTTTTAGGTTTTGTTTTGATAAATAAATATTCCAATTGTAAACTTAGTTCAAACTTAGTAATTTATTTATTAATTCGTTTTAATAAAAATATTCTATTAATCTTCATTTAAGAAATAATGATTTCTCTTATACAAAATTGTAAAAAATATCTAGAAATTTATAATTATGTATATTAGACAAAAATATGTGCAGTATTTAAGTTTCTTTTCTTTAAACAAGGGTATCAAATCGTCGGTTCGTCACAGAAATCTTCACATCTCTCGTTTAAATTTAAACTTTTTGGTTCTTTTGCGTGATGTTCTGCGGTTGCCTTCGCACTTAAAGGCAGAATTTTTCCTCGACTTGATAACATTTTTAAAGTAATTTTGTGGTGTTTTCAGTTTTTTTTACATCAGGTTTTCCCCCAACTTGGACCTTTTATACTCCATTTATTGTTCATTTTCATGCTGCTGAATTTTTCATTAGAGATTTGAGACGAAAGCTGACTTTGAAATGAACGATTTTTCTGGCGCCAGAATTGTCATGAAAACTGTGCTTCTTGTAATGAAATCTCGGAAATTGAAGATGGAAATGAGGAGTTCTTAAATAACTTTTTAAAGTTTACAGAAGACAGATGTTAATTTCCTTTTAAAAATGAATTTATTACGGGATGGGTCATATTTATGTAAATATCATTGGACTTTTGCTAAATATATTTTAAATTACATTTATAATTACCAAGAAGTATAAGATATATTCTTTAATTACTGCGAGTTTCTTTTCCCTTTATACAGAAACTTTGATTAAAACTTTTCTGGTGCTTATAATGGTAGCTGAACATATGCTTTTCTACGTATATATTTTTCTCTTATCTATAGCACTCGGTTGTGCTGAGATAGTGGCCTAGACTTGTTGTTGGGTTACATTTTATGTACTACACACACACACACACCTAAGAGCTACCCCCAGACACACAAAAACACACACTAACACAGCGACAGAGATTGGGGGCGACGGCAACAAAATAACGACGATAACATGCTAACTTGAGAGGACCTGACTCCAGAGCTCCCTACCGAGAATCGGGAAAGTGTATATAAAATAAGCGCAGATAGGGGCTTATATAGAGGAGAGCTAAGAGAGAGAGAGAGCGAGAAGATGAGAGAAGTCAGGGAAACGAGACAGAAGACAGCTCCGTTGGTATATAATGGAATTGCAGCGACGTGATTGTGAAACATTCGACCGTAGGGATGTGCTCTGATTCAACTTTCAGCTCCCGCGGCATAAGGACGCCCTGCCTTTCCTTGGCCATGGCCAAGTTGGAGTGGGCGGGAGTGGGAGTGGGTCGAGCAACAGTAAAATTGAGTAGTCAGGAAGGCTCTCAGTTGGCCTCACCGAGCATGCCTGGATGCAGGGTCTGAAGGACTCCGTTTCCATGGCTCGGGGCACGTTCGTGCACTATCGGCACAAATAACGTCACGTAGTCGCAGAGATTATAGAGCAGCTTTTATTATTTATCACGGCCAAAACGACCCACGAACACTAACGAGACCAACAAAAAGGAAAAAAAAAGATAAAAAAATAGAAGGAAAAGCAAAATGGAAACTAGGAAAATCCCGTCGGCCGTCGGTTCGAGGCTAGTGCCTTTTTGTATATGGAACTTATGTATCCCAGGGCCAGTGCTTTTTGCCCGCCTTTTCAGGGATTTTTATTGCCGCATACATTGTATACTGTTAAATCTTAGCTGCCTTCTGAATTGCTTTCCTTTTAGTCTTCTAATATTTTAAGCTTTAGTTTTTTCCCAGTTGCCTTATCTTTTGAATCCGCTTCCTAATTCAACACGTCCGCAACATATTTGGTGGCCGGGCAATTTGTGCTATAAGCAGTGGGAATTAAATCACGCATACGCCCCGTTGAGCGACGGCAAAAACGTATGAGAAACGCTATTGACATTGTTTGAAAATCGATTTAATAAGAATCTGGTAATCTAATATATTAAAAATTGTATAATAATTTTACTATGCATTTGCTGATGAGAAGAGATTGACATTAACAATTAACAATTAAATCACGCATACGCCCTGTTGAGCGACGGCAAAAACGTTCAGGAAACGGTATTGTATTAATTTGAGAAGCTATTTAATAAGAATCAGCTAATCTAATTTTCATAAAATTGTATTGTGAATTAAATATGCATATGCTAATAAAAAAATGTTGATAGTTTCTCTATGACAAATATTTCATATTAACAAAAAGTACAAATAATATATTTGAATATCTTTTGAGTGATTTTATATCGAAAGCAGTGATTAAGGAACTGCTTATTTCAATTCATAAACTTTTTTAAAGTGTTTTAAGTTTAAAAAAGATTTTCCTCAAATATTTAAAGCCCATCTTTCGGTTTAATTTATCGATTTGCGTTATCCCAAACACATTTTCCGCCTCAGATTCACCTTTTGAATGGAAAACAAAAGTCATGAATAAATAAAATATCCCTAAAAATGTGTGTTTTTTTTCTTTTCCTTCTTTTATAGCGCATAAATTTAAGGAAACGAAAATCTGAGGCCAGGAAATAAAAGCGAAACACAAAACCAAAGAGAGGGAAATGGCAGCAAAGCACGGGCTAAGCATATAAAAACATTTGGTCGAAAAGTAAATACGAAAACGAAGAAAACCAGGAAAGAAACCGGAACGGAAAGGCGAAAAATTGTTTAAGAAAATCACATCAGATGAAAAGAGGAAAAATCTGCTGTCTGGGATGGAAACACGTCTCAGCACGGGGAAGAAAATTAAGGATAAGTCGTAAAGAAGGAAGAATTCAGCGGAGGAGACCGCAGGGCGGGGAAAACCAAAACACTCGGATGGTGAATCCTGAGATGTTCGGGGCCAGCATCAGCATTGCCACATGTGCCTCTCCGCTATATAGCTATATATATACGAGGGGGTAGGGATAGAGGTTTCCTCGGGAGGGGCGGCACACGTCCTAAATCGAAGACGGCAACGATAAAAATGTCTGGAATATTTCTCTGACTCTCTCTCTTTTGCGGATTTCTCTTTCACTGATTTCACCAGACGCATCAGCGAGGAAGTCTGCTTATTAGGGGTTATTATCCTTGCCATTTGTAAACTGATTTCAAGCCCAGCAGGAATTTCGCTTTTTATGCTTAATGATCCAGTGTGCGTATATATGCGAATGAAATCTGATGAATCAATATAGAAGCGATTACAGCGAATAAATTTGAATGTAATGATGGCAGGACAAAGAAGTGAGGTTATTTTGCAAGGATAAGCCACGTGGCTCGAGGTTTATAAGGTTTGGATATATAAATCAAAGGAATTTTGAAGGTTTTTATGAATTTCGACTGTTATTAAATAATTTACTTAATAATAGATAAATTATTTATTGTTGATAAATTATAATTTAATTTCAACGATATTAAAATAAAAGGAAACACAAAGGATCAAATTAAAAAAAATAAAGGTACTACTGTATTTTATATGCTTTTTTTAAGATATTTATGCTGAATAATTTATTTAATTTCTTCTTTTAAGCTTTATATTTTATAAAATAAAAATCTATATTGGCCAAACACACCATAATGTTTATATTTAAGTAAATAATTAAGAAGAAACTCTATTCTGCTGGTAATTTTCATTATATTACAAATTCAAAGAACAATATCTAAGTCTCTGGTGAAGTCAAAATAAATCGCATTTTAGATTCGGAATTTTCACATAGCCATCAAGAACTTGAAATCGATGCTAATGTGTCAGCCCCACCCTGCGACCTTCTCCCCATTTCATGCCCGGCTCCCTTTTGCCTCGTTTTCGCAATGGCGTTTCAGTTCCGTTTCGTTTTCGGTTTTCTAGGGGTGTGTATGCACTTATACCAAGGCATGGCGTCAATGTGTGCGTCTCGTATTTGTTATTCGTGTGTGTGCGCGCGTATAAAACAGAAAATCAAAATCTCTTGACTAAATTTTTCATTGGTCGACTGTGATTTCTCTGTCTGCCTCTCTTTCTCTCCTTCTCTCTCTCACTCCCACGTGGCCGTTCGCACTCTCTCGCACCCTCTGCCAGTCTGTGAGTATGTGTGTGTGTGTGTGTACTGCAGCAGACCTTCCAGTATATAGATTCTTTCAGATTCTTATCAGAAGCAGCCGTTTCAGCTCTCTGCCTCTCTCGCTCGAGTGCACAGCTCTCGTTCTCTCTGTCGCTCCGGTTCTCTGGCACTCTCCCCAGTGATTTTTCGAGAGCAACTGGGTGCTCTTTCAGCTGTCGTCTGCTCCATTTTTTTTGCACCCCTCCCCCAACGCCTTTCCACCACCCACCACCCCCCTTTCGAGAGTCCGTTATATCTGATTCTGCCGATGGCAAATGTAATTGCAACTGGCGACTGCGGCTTTCGGTGGTGGTTCTTGCTTCGACGCTTTAATGGCGACGCTTTCAGTCCCCCAGCACTACCCCCCTTACTACACCCATGCATTGCTCCCACAATCTGTCCTTGTATTAATGGTGAAAATCTTTAAAGTTTTGTTTGGGGTCTTAGGTGTAGATTATTGTTTGAGGTTCCTAGAAACTCAACAAATTGATTAAGCTCTTTAAAGCTAATACCGAGAATTTAAAAAAAATCGAAGCTACTGTAAATCCAATGGGGAATTGATATAAATAAAGAATTTGTAAGTATTTGAAATAAGAAAGAGGAATTAATACTTTGCTACATATACATTTCAGAAATTAAACTATTTAATAAATTGAACAAAAATCAGTAAGAATCTTTTTTCCTGAATTACATTTTTTTATTTTAATTTATAAATCGTTATAACTTTGCTACCTTTGCTACCGGTTTTCAAATTAAGTTAAATGCTGTTGTATATTCAACGAAATGTGTATTTAGAACTTTTTGATCAGAGTAGTAATATTTAGTAGCATACTTTTGTGCAACACTGTACATGATTTAAAATCCACAAGAATTAACCGAAAAGACTCAATCAACTTTTGCTTACCTGTGTGTATGTAGGTGTGCTTCTTCATGTCGCTCTTTTGGTGGAACCGCTTGCCGCAGTAGTTGCAGGGATAAGGCCGCGTGTCGCTGTGAATGAGCAGGTGCGTCGACAGCGTGCTGGAGCGCTTGAAGCGCTTGCCGCACTGCTTGCACTCGAACACCTTCTCCACATTGTGCACCGCCCTGGAATTGGGATGGAGAATGGAGCGGGATTAGAGGAGTCACCATAACGAGCGCTTTGCCGTAATTAAGGTCCGGCTATTTCCCCGAGGGGCACCGGAAGTGGATGTGTTTTAACTACAGCCACAAAGGCAAACATTTGGTCAGGCTGAAATCCAGCCATTTTGGCCAAATTAAGTAATGCAGAGTGTCCACTTCCGTCCCAGACAGGAACGCCACTCACAACACTCAGAGAAATGAAATAGTTATTTGAAATAAGTGGAAAATTACTTCAATTAAAATAAACTTAAATTCCTTTAAGTTTAAAGAATTCGAAATAAGAATGGATAACATTTACATTGATTACTACTATAAATCAATTAGATAAATATTACATATTTCATTAATTCATAATAATTTTAAAAATACTCCTTGCCTTCTATTTCTTCATTTCATACAAAAAATCAAGGACTTAAGTACACTTAATTTTTTCTGAGTGCTGCCATGCATATTCTGGTCCCAAACCGGTCACTCCTACTCCCACTCCCCGAGGTGGGCATTCTGGACATACCTGTGTTGGCTGAGGCTGACCTCGTGCCCAAAGGTCTTGTTGCAGAGCTCACAGGCATAGGGCTTCTTGCCGTGGTGCGTCCGGCGGGAATGGACCTCGAGGCCGTGCGGCGTGGAGAACATCTTCTCGCACTTCATGCACGAGTACAGGTCGCTGAATTGGTGCAGGCCCGGCCACTTGGCGGCCATGTGGTGGAAGTGGTGCAGGTGCGGCGAATGTGGCAGTCCCAGGTGCCCGCCGTTGGGTGGCACGCCCACTCCGACACCCACACCGACGCCCACGGCCGCCGCAGCAGCTGCCGCCGCCGCCGCTGCCGCTGTGGAGTTGTTCTGTCCGGCGGATTGCAGTGGCACCATTAGACTCCGCAGACGGAAGAGATTTTCCTGCGAGTCCGGATGATAGCTGGCGGGGAGGAAAATATACATTTAATTGAGGCAAGTTAATTAAGATGGGTCCCGAGCTACACAAGTTCTATGTCTGTGGCTGGCGGAAAATGGGGAAAAGTCTACGAAACCCTAAGCTGGTAATGAAATTGTGTTAGTCATGTTCACTAACCCTTTAAAAACAAAAAGTTTTATGCAAAGAGCTTAAAGGGGATATTTTATGTGTGGCTTATTAAGAAAAACCTTTTCGATTTAATTTAAAAACTTCATTCATTATTTTTGGAGTTGGCTTGAGACTTGCACTAAGTGCGATTTAAAAAGGTGGGGAGGAAGTACCCTTATAATTTATTAAGTTTATTAAAAAGCCTCGAATTCAATTAAAATTCAAAGAGTGATTTAGATGCTACAAATCTGATTTGATCATATATTTCTTGGCCTTAAAGGACCTTAACTTACCCCGCTGCTAGGCTAGATTGCTGCTGTTGCTGTTGCTGCTGCTGCTGCTGTTGCTGCTGACCTTGGTGGAAGGCAACGGCGGCGAAGAAGGGCAGGGCAGGCGAGAAGAGTGGGCGCTGGAACATGGCTGCGTCGTAGTTGGGCGGATATCCCTGACGCATTGCCTCCAGCGGGTTAAAGGGCATGGGTAGGCCGCCGGCGGCCAGGTGACCCAGTGGCGGGCTGCGTGGCGTGCGTCTCTGGGGTGGCTCATCCCTTCGCAGTAGCGCTGACACGGAGAAGAGATCGGACTTCTTGGAGCCGATGCTCCTGGCACCCCCATTGGCCGTTATAAGCAGCTCCGAGGCGGAAGCGGTGCTGGGAGAACTGATCCGTGGACTGCCAGGCGGTGAGTCCACCTCCAGCTCCACCGACGAGCTGCTCGAGTGCGAGCGGGAGCGGGAGTGGGAGCGGGAGCGGGATCGCGAACGAGAGTGCAGCGAGCGGTGCGAATGGTGCGATTCCGCGTCCTCCATGTCGATCTGCGAGGAGCAACGACTCCGGGATCGCGAGCGGGAACGGGATCGCGACTGTCGCCTCAACTTTTCGCTGGCGCTGATGAAGGCCGGCTTGGAACGTGGCTGCTGGAGCTGCTGATGCTGCTGGTGCTGTTGCATCTGGTTTTTGCTCAGCATGGAGATGGAGTTGTTGTTGTCCTCCAGCGAAGTCAGCGGCTTCAGGCCAACGGCCGCTGTTAGGAGTTCAGTCTTGACCAGTCTGCTAATGCTAAATGCCAGGGAGGCATCTGAAAGATCAAGGAAAAGGTAAAGAATATTAGAAAAAATATAATAATAATTAAGGAATTTACTTATATTTTAATTATATTTGGAGCATTCTGAGATCAGTTACTTAAATCAGGACAATCCGTATGCTATGTCATCAATCTTTCCAATACAAAAAATTATAGTCGGGAAGGGGAAATTCACCTGTTCACCCTCACACACCCAAATACCCTACGTATGTGTGCCAGTTGTCGGCGTATCGAATTTCAAATGTAATTATTTTCGTATTCAATCGCCTAATCCACCTTACATGACCATTAATTCACCCTAATCAGTGAATCCTTCCCCTCTCGCGAACCGTTTTCCGCATTTGACATCAACGCGTCATCATCCGCCGTCGTCACCCCGAAATCTTTGGGCAGCGATGACGGCCACGGACACAGATACAAATCCCGTATACGGAAACGGCGCCGGCGCTCAGGGTTGACGCGGCACGCCCCTGGACAGGAGCAAACACCCGACAAAAATGTCAGTGCCAAGGAGAACTTTAACCCTGAGATTTCATTGTATAGTGTCTTTGGTAATTGCTAAGAAATAAACTAGCGAGAGTCTATTATGTTTAAGTAATAAAGAACTTTAAGTAAACATTAATACAAATCTATTAGTATTTATCTAAGAGTAAACTATGTTTAAATAATTATACACACCAAAACTAATCATTATCTACAATCTCTGTTTTGAATCCTTCCGATCGCTGAAACTTTCGTGGGGTGCACACGGCCTAAAATACACATCCTCGAAGTCTATCGCCTGTCGAAATGAAATAATAATAATGTGCGTTTAAATAGAACATCTGTTCGGTCCACACTCGGCTAAATGGAGCATGACAAACCAGAAAACACACAGCCGAAATGGAAGACCTTGAGGGAAGGGGATTCCGGAATGAAACTCCGGCGACATCCCGACATCCTGCGTGTGCAAATTGACGCAGGCGCATTGGCTGGGGGGGAGGAGGGAAAATAAAAAGAAAAAGGAAAATGGCAAAGAAGGAACAGGGGCACTGCTCGCGGGAAAGGGGTACGAGTGTACGCAGGCAAGTGAAAACCGCGACGGGGCCCGAGGCGAATCGAATGAATGAATGAATCCGCATCGCAACAAAAGAATAACAATTTGACAACATTCTAATTCGCCACGCAGATAAAAGTAACTGCTGCGGATGTGCCGAGATCGGGGGGAGTAAAATACAGGGGCGGGACTTTGATTCCGGGCCATAGTCGTCCGTAGTCCGCAGTCAGTACGTAGTCTGCATTCAGTGAGGCGGCAAAACGCAAAGCCAAGCAAATATAAACAAAGCCCACGCACTAAACGCGGCAGGGAAAATGAGCAGAGCCCAAAGTATCCAGCGGATACACAGATACAATCGGAGGGTGGATGAATGGATGATCGTTTGCTCGTTTGCTTTTTCCTGCCATAGTGTCAAGTGTTTTTATTGCCCTTCTGCCTCTGTCCTTGTTCGCACTAAGCTCTTTGGATTTTTGGTTTTTGATTCTAAGTGCTTTTCAATGTGGAAATATGCCACAAAGAATGCTTCTTATGGATAGTTGATTTTTTAGAGATTTTCAAAGAAGAAGGTGAAATCTCAATTACTTTTGTATAATATTCTCTAGAATATGTTGTCCCTTTATTTGGAATTATACTTGTACTTTTCTCTTTCAATGTTGAACATTTAAAATATAATTAAACTTCAGTTTAAGTAGCAGTTGTCTACTAAGTAAATTAAAAGACATTACTTTAAATAGTAAGAGAATTTAGAAACTAAAATCTGAGTAAAATATTCTTTTTGTAAATTATATTTATATGACAGCTAACAAAAAATGTGCCTATGATAACAAGAAGATTTTATAAACCATTAATATTCCAAATATCAGTTCGTTATTTGGTATACATATCTCTTATATTCTTTGCACATTCTAAATATTAAATAAACATATATTCATATACCCGTTTTTATATAAAATTAAATTATTTCTTGTTGAAAATTCCTTTTGTAAAGCCCTTGTTTCAGACAACCGTCATTTCCCGCTCATCGCATAAAACTAAATTTTAATCATTGACATTACGACAAATGTCGATTTGCCCCGTGAACCCAAACCCGGGGCCCAACCCTTCCGTTCTAATTATGCACACAATCGTCCCGGGAGGATTTCCACCAGCCAAAACAGAATTCGAATCGAATGGAGTAGAGTACGGCAACACAAGGGCCCAGAGCAAGAAGGGGGCTTCGGCTTTGGCCCACACAATATGAGAGAAATAAAATTGGAAACGTTTAACGTTCGGCGGCAGCCAGTGGGCCAAAAGCAACCCCAAGGACCAGGCAGGAGCCGAGCAGGAGCCGGGCAAGTGGCTCTTGGTGGCGCACGTAGACCGACTTGTTTAAACGATAATAATGAGCTTAAGCATGTGCCCAATGTCGCTTCGGGGTGGCGAGTCCTCCGGAAGCTGGGAGGGCTGGCAAAGTAGCACCAACGGCCGACCCCTCAACCGGGCCGGGGCAGCAAAGTCATAAATTTGTGCACATTAGACATAGCCGTCGTCCGACCCGCACATCCCCCCGAATTAGACCTAACCCTCCTCCTGGCACGATGCTCATCTGTTTTTATCCGCCCGGGAGCAATATTCACGCACTCCACGCACTTGTTCACATAAAAAGAAGAAGGTAAAATAATTATTCGACACTGCATGGTAATTGAAATCATTGTTATCCTGCCCTGCTCTGCCCCTGTTTTGTGTCCTTCCGCCCACGCCATCTCATTGTCAGGCTTATGCCAGGATTATTATTGTTTTTTGGGGCGATTTGCAGCCATTACAATTTGGTTTGGGTTAACGATTTGCCCGGGTGCGTCTCTAGTAGGAGGTGTTAATTTCTGAAATTTCATTTATAATTACTTGTGGGTGCCTCGTAATATTCATGGGGAAGATATTACAGCCAGTGTTTTTTAAATATTTTAGGCAGAGGTTAGAAAAGTGGAACTATATTCTGCAACAACTGAATCTTACTTTAATTTAAGGATAGAAAAATAACCTCTTAATTTATGAAACCTAATTAAGCTGTCTCTGAACTTATTCAAATCATCAATTACTGCAATGACGTCAACAAAAATGATTTAAAGTGAGTTGAAATCTATTAAATTGAGACCTTCTCTTTGTGAGTCTTTTTTAAGCCAATATAAAATGAATTGGAATCCTAAAATGTAATACTAATTTCTCGGGTAATTTACAACATCTATTTTTGCTGCAAAATCAGTAAGTCGAGTATTCGAGTGGGTGCAAAGTGTGTTCGAGTATTTTGCAGGTATCGACTCGATTAAATCGGGAGCAATGTGGGTACTGGGCAACAGTAGTTGGGGGCCGGGACTGGTCGTAATATTATAAAAACAAATTCCGCTTTCGGCAAATATGAAAGTGGAAATGGCAAAAAATAAAAAACAGCACAGTATAAATAATAAAGAGCCTGGCGATATGGCCCAGAAGAGGGCCATAAACTGCGAACGGTTAGATAGATTAGGCCATGATTTGGTCTGTTGGTATGCCAGCGAATGTGTGCGCATGATTTACGGATTCGTTGAGATTTCGATTTCAACTTGGGTTCGGATTTCGACTTGGATTCGATTTCGGATTCGGATTGGGATTGCGATTGGGATCGGATTTCGATTGGATCGATAAGCGTATCAGCGTTGTTGGTGGAGGAGGTGGAGGTTGAGAGGAGAGCTCTTTAGCCCGCATAAGCTCAACTCGTTGAGTGGCATTAGATGGGGATTGCGTATCCAAACACTCGACCATCAGGCTTCAGGCAATCTGCTTGCGGCTATCAGCTGACAACGGCCGTCGGCTTTTGGTCTTTGAATTGCAATTGCAATTACACTATTTACCCTTACACTGCAAATCAATCAGGTTTAAGCCCTGCAAAAATTCAACGTTCCATTGCAGGTACCCTTCCCTCTAAGTACACTCAGTTCTCCCTTTTCCCAGCTGCTTATCGCCGGAGCTATAAATCAGAAGGCTATCTAAACTTTAGACTACAGCTTTTACCTTTTTCCTTTCGCTGATAAATGACATTTAATTGGTGGTTCAATGAGCCGACTGTTTTCACTCATTTGAGTGCTTCGATTACCAAATTTTAGTAATTGTGGCACTATAAAAACAAAGTGGGAAATATTAGGGAAGAGTTATGGGTTACCGGTCTAAAAATGTAAATCTATATATAGGCTACAGTTACTTTGACTTTTGGGTTCAAAGGTATGTATATATATTTGATCATATGGGTTTTGTGGATGACTACTACCATTGTTCTCCGATATCGGAGGTGCAGACTGCGAGTCGGTTTTTATGACTGTTATAGCTGATATCTACTCTGGTAGCTTTTATGGCTCTACAAATTCGATATCGAAAATCGCAGTTTCTCATACTATCAGCAACGGGAATCGATCGCGCACTTCTAATTTCAATATTCAAACAACGAACGTGACAAACGCCAATGCCAAACTGGGAAAGGGTTCTGTTCTGTCCTCCTTTTTCCCCCCAAAAATTGATTTTTCTTTGCCAAACATTCGAGCGATGATAAACCGGACTGGACTCGGAATCGAGGGCATAAATAACAACACAAATGGGTGGAAATTGTGTGAAACAGCTCCGCAGTTGAGCTGCACTTTCTTAATGTTGCACGAACTATGTCTGCGGTTGCGTTGGCCTTTGTTTACTTATCGGTCGCTCGCTTACTTTATGATGCATTTACTCTTTCGATTTTACAACTGGCCACAGAGGATATTGACATGTTTAGATGTCGTTATGTATTTACCTCGCATCGTAAATCATAACGCGTGTGCGGTGTGTGCAGTGTGTGTGTGTGTGCAGCTAACTATCTATCGGACTCTTTCTGGGTTTGTATCTGGCAGATACTCGGGGTGTGGATGTGGCCTTCCTTCCACTTTATTTGGCTGACTGTCTCTGTATGGCCTGGATATCTTTACAATGCCCAATTTTCGTCTACTTGTGAGAAGTTGAAGAATATATGGCAGGCGACGAGTTGCCAATGATTACGACGTGTGTCGTAAATATTTCATAAATATTGCTCTGATTTTCGTTGCGACAATTTGTTATTTATCAATAGTGTACTTTGTGATCACCACGCTCGTGAAACACATTGCAATGAATTCTAAATACTCTGTAAAAGGATTTAATGGGTTTGGGAAATATCATACCATAATTTGGAGTCTTAATTGCTGAATTCCGTAAGACTTCAGTTCGTTATAATGTTATAATATACAAATAATTTAACACTATGCTTTAATATAATATCGGTTTCACTGCTAACGAATTTAAATATATGTTTATTAAATATATTTTTAATAAATTTCTTAACATAATGTATTAACCCTTTTCGACGTCTATGAACTTCCTGCAATCATTACTCACTATTGTAGCTCAACTATCTAATTTACAATACCCTGGAATCCAATCAGTTCTGGGTTGACAAATCCCAAGTTTCGCTATAACTCTTTCTGATAAGACATATTCTTGACTAAACGTCATTCTTGTTTGTCGACCGTTAATTTATTCGATAGGATATTTCGATTGCCTTTTTAATTGATTCGAATCGCTGTTCAATTGTTTGGTGTGATTGAAAACGGCTCAACAACTTTATTATTGAATTTATATAGATGAATTTGGTGAGCCATATATAAAAATAGAAAGGCACCTCTATGGCCCGATAGGTGTTGCACGTAAATCATGAATATAATTTATGGGCTAAATGTCGATTTCAGATGTCCAAGGCACCGTTCTGATTTTCGGGCTGATATCACACGAAAAGTATGTCTCCGAATCTCTTGCGTTCTGGGAATGAATCAATGCTGGCTGGAGGTCTTGGCTCAAGTAACTTGTGTGGGGGAGGCCATTTAACCCATGAACCCCTTTGGAATATTAGTCGGCTTTTAGTCTGGGTCCGGCCAATTTCAACAAATTAACTTAATTCGTGACTCACGGCGGTGACGACTGGCGGTGTCAAAGTTCTTCTCTCTCTTTACTGGTATCGCGTTAGACGTCGAATCGGCAAAGAACATAATTAATTGAGTCATACGGCGCACTGGCATATGACAGAAATTAAGATCATCCATTGATGGGTGTGAGTGTGGGTGGTGGGTGTGGATGGCTAATGGGAAATCGAGACTAAATTTCCGACTGACCTTTCGGAGCAAGGTTGCGACTTAATGGTTACGAAGATAAGTTTGTTTGGGTTAGTCTTAAAAAATTATAAAACGAAGAACTTCTGACAAAAATGACGTATTAAAACAGTAAGATACTTATTTAAATTATTAAATATTCAGACGTAGAATCAAGTTTTATATATTTTTGATTTTTTAATCTATTAATCTAATACTTTCTCCAGTTTGTTTTGCTAAAAGAAACTACTGTCTTTTATTAAAGACCAAATATTATGATGTATTAAATTTTAAATTTTTTTAATTATTGGTTTTCTTTTTAAAAAAGCAATCAAGTTTCGGCCTTTCAGTTTAAGCCCTAGAGATTTTCGTTCTAGATGCGAGTGTCCCAACAAAGATTCCCGGCTCCATCAACAGGGGCAGGGGCCAATCAGTCACCGGAGAGACCCGTGGAGTTCAGCCAATATATTGTCCCACCGAAAACCGAAAAAAATATTCCAACAAACAAAGCGAAATTCATTTTCGCCACAGCGCAAGAGGAACGGCGGTGGGAAAAGCTGGGGAAAAGCGCTTGTCGCGGCAAACGGAATTGAAAATTCAGTGTGCGAATGTATCTGGGTGTGTGTTTTTCCGCATATCCATGTCTGTGCTGGAAGCGGCGGAGAGCTAAAAACATATCCGTTGGATACATGTAATGCCGGTAAATGAAATCCGCTTGTCGCTGCCAGGACGCCACAGTAAGTGTGTGTGTGTGTTTGAGTGTGGAAAAACCGGAAAAAGGGATATGGGAGAAGGAAAAAGGCTCTCACACACAAAAGCACTAGTAACCGCTACCAATTTGGCTAGTTCATAGCCAATATCATCTAGTTTTTTTTAAGTCCAAGCCTTTAAAAGTATTTAGTTCTTTATGATTTTTTAACCTAAATATAGTAAAAGATAAATTTTCAAGCTTGAAATTGTATTTTACTAAAGTGTGAATATGAAAAATTTGCAATGTATAAATTATAAATAGTTGATAGTTTCTTATATTATTTTGGCTGAAAATTATTTATATTAAAATTCGTATACTAAAGATTTTACAATTTCAGAATACTTCATTATGAAATGATGATAAAAAAAGCTCTGATTTTAATTAAAACGATATAGTTGTTTGTTATCTTATCTTAAAATCTTGCATAAAAGCTTACAATGCGAAGTTTTTACCCTTAAAATTAAAGTGCAACCTTTGTCACCTTTAAATTTGTTTACAGAAATTACTTATAATCCCTGAACTGCGACGATAACAACATTCATCGGAATAAATTGAAATGGATAACGGTGTTGCGGCTTTAAGTGAGCATCCCTGATGGCCAGGCTCCCAAACACACACACATACATACACACAGTGGGGCTCTCATTCATTCATTCACTGGTCATATTTGAAATTCAACAGCGATGGCGATGACAACGGCGTCTGCACACAGTTGTCCGTCCATCCATGTGTGTATGTGAACTGGACTGAAGTGGACTGGACGGTGGGGTGGAGTGTGTATCTACAAGTTTGTCGGTACGTAGCACCGTATCCGTATCTGTGTATCTGTGGTTCGGCTATGGATTTTTCAATCCCCGATATCCATTTGTCCGCCCCGTGTCCGCACCGAAGATTTGCACATTAAGCGCCGCACTCACTCACACACTCTCAAACGGAATAATGAATATTCGCTCCTCGCTCCCCGCCACAATTTTTGTTTTCCACGCTTTCACCGAATGGAAGTTGGGCTTTTTTCCAATTAAACTGACACCGTGCAGCCTTTTGGGCTCCCACTTGGACATGGCCACCGCTGGTCATATTTTAAAATCGCACATTATTCAAATAGATTTTTTAAAAATTCTTGTTTTTTCTGCTCCCTCCTCTTTGGGGGATTTGTCGCAGCTCGTTGCGAATCCGTGTTTTACGGTTTCCCTGAGTTTTTATTGTACTTTTTTTAATTAACTCGGCGAGTTTTAAATCTGACCGAACATGTTGACGAACGGCAATCTATGCAAAGGAGCTTAAATGGACGTACGTACTGAAACTATTTTAGGCTATATCATCGATATTTTCAGCTATTAAATAATAAAAAAATGTGTACATTTAGCTATATACATACATGCTAAGCTGATTGCAAAAACCAAATATGCTTGTATTTTGATATTTTTATCTAAAAATCTTGATATTTTTAATAGTGTTTAACTGATATGTAATTAGATTACGAAGTTAACAGTATGGATATAATATATTTAACAAAAAGAACACCAAAGGATAATGATAAATGATAATTTTCCAAATAAATTCATATATATTGAATAGTTAAAGTTATTTGGCATTAAAGTATAAATCTGTATTTTGGGGATATTGAAATAATATTACTTTCAAAAACAAAAATCAGTTTTAAAACACTATTTTCAACCAAATTGGTATTATAATTAGAAATCGTAATAAAAGAAACAAAGACTTAAAAAAAAATAAAAACTGATATTAATGAAATCAAATATAATTTACAATAAAATAAAATTTAGCATCACAAGTTTGTTTCATTTTTATATTTTACATACGTGATATAGTAATAGTTCCAATTAAAATAAAATCAAATTATAAAAAGGGTTTTCCCAAAGCCAACAAATATTATTCACGATTTAATATTTTCGATAAAGTATTAATTCAAACTCGTTAGATTTTTCAATTGATGTGATAAATGATGAACATAAGGAACTTTTATTTTTAAATGAAACCCATGTTCTTAGAAATTTCTTTTAAATATATTTTACACATGGATTTCCTTTGGAAAATGGTTTTGCAAACTTACCGTCGGAGTTGCGCTTCTTGGGTGTTACCGCTTTGAAGGCGGAGATGGGCGCATACTCGTGCGGCGATGTAGAGGCCGTCGGCATTGGTGGCTGCGGCGGATTCTGGGCCGCCTGGTGCTGGTGCTGTTGCTGGTGGTGACCCAGGGCCGCGTCCGCAGAGATTTGGATGCGCTGCTGGAGGAGTTGCGTGGGCGAGGGTATCGTGGCCATGGCCGTTAGGGCGCTAAGATCGCGCACCTGCAGCGAGGCGGAAGTGGAGGCGGAAGCGGCACCGGAACCGGAAACGGACGAGGCGGAATTAGAGGCCGTGGATGACTGTTGCTGCTGGCTGGCAAGGAAGGGTCCGGGAAAGTCGGACGCTATGGCCGGCTTAAAGTTGCCCAAACTGTAGTCGAGCGGCAGGTGGTGTTGGTGGGCGGGCGGCGCAGCGGGATGCATTAGATGCTGGCCGGAAGTGGCTTGCATTTTGGCTACGTCCATTTCGGCACTGTATTGGTTTATGTTTTAGTTTGATTTTTAAATATATATTTTGTTTTTAACTTAAGCTGCGGTCAGCTTGGAGTTGTTCTTGGGCTTTAGCACTGCAACCGAATAGTTGGGTTTACGCGACGGCATGCGACTGCGGTTACGGTGGCGTATACGAAACGGGTTCCGGTGGCTACGGTGGCGTATACGCAACGGGTTCCGTTCCGGAAGGAAGCGTTCACTGATTTAGAGCTCTGCTGCTGCGTGTGCTGCTGCTGCTGCTACTGCTATTGCGAGTGCTGCTGCTTTGCGCATAACTGCTGGCTTCGGCGTCATCGAGCGGACTGAAACCGTAAAACCTAATCACGGATCCGTGGAACGCTGACGCCGGCGCCCGGCCGAGAGTGAATCTCTGCCGCCGAGCTTGGAAACCTCTGCTCTGTCGCTGCTGCTGCTTCTGCGAGTGCTGCTGCTGCTGCACTTGACTTACGCAGAACTCTCGATACTCGTCTGTTGTGCCAAGTGTTGCGATTTTCGCCTAGATTTGGCAGCGACAGCGACGCCGGCAGCGGAGCCAGCGAGATGAGCGGGGCCGAGGGTGGGGAGTGGAACGCCACTCGTTGCTTTTTGTCCCGTTCGAAATCGGAGTGCTCCGACTTTACCGTTGCCAGCGAGCGTCTGAAAGCGACTGACGACGAGCGTGAGCTAGCGGCGTTCCGCTCAGCGGAAGTGCTCAACCACCACCGCCGTGCCGAAGAGTGCGAGTGGGAGCGAGACGACGCGAGCTTCCAATTGGAATCGCGGCGACCGAGTGGAATTGAAACACTCACCACCATGGCTGCATGCGCCATCCCGCTCTCTTGGCCACGCCCCCTTCCAGCATGTCGCGGGTAATCTGGGTTTTTTGGTAGCTTGTTGTTGGTATTTTTAGTGCGCATACCGCTTTGATTCGTTCAAATCAATGCGGCCGCCGCACGAACAAAGGGGTGGCAGGTGGGAGGTGGGCTGTGGTGGGGGTGGTGCGTGAGCTGGGCGCGTGTTTGCCAGCCTTTGGTTTACCTGTGCCGCTCTGGGGGCGGGCTTAGCTTCGACTATTTCTGGCTGGCCTAGCTTAGCCGCCATCGATTTGGTAATCGGCATTGTCAGTGGCACTTGAGTTGCCCTCGCCATTTAATTTCGAGTGCTGCCTCGTCAGCTGTCAAGGTGCTTGAGTGGCCACCACCACCTTTACCACTACCAGCAGAACCCTCGCTTGTTGGCTCCACTTCCCAATGGCTTTTACCATTCGACACTTGCGATTGGTTTTCTGGACTTAGCTTCGAATGATATAAGTGATTTCCACGAAGCTCAGCAAAATTGTTGCATACCAACACTCTTGCAATATAGGGTTTATATTTGATATCATATTATAGAATATATAATACAGTATTATTTTTATCATAAGACTAGCGGCCCGTCCCGGCTTCGCACGGGCATTAAACATTACATTTAGATTTGTCAATTTTAACACATTCATAATAATAATAATAATATGACACATATTCATCCTTTTTTTTTTTTCAATTATTGAGGTCATCACCCTAAAAGAAAATACATTTATTTTGTTAGAGCTTCTCTGTAATCAATATTTGATGTTGTTTTATTTTGTGGCAGCAAAATAAATTGATTTTCAGGGGCTCCTACTCGCGATAGACCAACATACTGTTGACCATGAGTAAAACATTTCTGTCGCAGATCGATCCCTACTAATTCGAAGTTTTGGCCTTGGGACTTGTTAATTGTTAATGCGAAAGATGTTTTTACCGGAAATTGAAGCCGTTTAAATGGGATTGACAGATGAGTTGGGATCATCGGTATCCTCGGTATATGAGCTAGTTGACCACTTGCTGGGCCAGTGATAATAGTTGCTACACTTAAATTGTCCTTTAACTCCTTAATAATCAGCCTCCTCCCATTACACATGCTTGGAGGGTTTAAATTTCTTAAAAGCATGATTGGGATTCCGATTTTTAACGTCAATTCATGGGGTGGCAGTCCAGAAGGGTTCAACGAATTTAAAAATTCCTGTGGATAATTGACTGCATCTTCAATATTCGTTACAGTGTCGATCGATTTGTATGTTTTTGTTTGGCCGGGGACTTTTTGAACAATCAGATTATTTATTTCATTGACAGTAACATTCTTAGGTGATACTATAGCCCGAGAACACAGCCAATGGAAGTCTCTTTCGTGCAAATTCTCGATATCAGGGTATACAGAATCTATTAAATTTTCCAAATTATGGAGTATTTTGCCTAGAGACTCATCCAGAAGAATGTCACAATGACCGCTTAAATTTGGAGTTGGAAAAATTCCTTCCCAAAGTTTTAGCAGTTGCTGTGGGAAATCGCTATCAGTGATTCCATGAAGATGAGCTCTCATATTTGTCCTTAATCCCAATGTCCCACATAATCAATGATTCCTCTTGTAGTAATTTACCAATAGGTCCATTTTTGCGTATTGAACATGTAGATTGTTGTACAAGATTGACGAATAGTGGAAGTTTAAAAGTAGAATGAGCAGTTTTGCCATCCTTCAAAAGAGTTGCAGCATTCATCACAGCATCCCGCAAATGGATATATTCCTCAGACCGAAATTTCGTCTGATTCAATCTAAGAGGCGTGACAGTATATGCAGACCTGATGCATCCGGCCAATAACGACATTCGATTCGAGCTGTAATCAATAGTTGGATTATATCTGATCTTCAGCAAGCTGTAAACGCGCTTCAGCTACCCTTGCCCTTTCACGTTATTTTGAGAGTGAATCAAATCGATCTTAATCGTTTTCTCTCAAGCCTATCTGCTCGTCTTTCTGCTGATTCTTCCTTGTGCATCTGCATTGCTCTCAGCCGCTCAGTCTCTCGTATGGAGGCCCGTTCTTCGTCAGTTATATTCGTAATCTTACGTCTTTTTGCTTCTGTATTACGATGATATCTGCTCGCGTGCCTCTGTTAATAACGGGGAGAGTCTGTTGAAAATCTCCAGCAAATACAAAAGTAATCCCGCCCATGACTGCAGAGGAGTTCCTTAGATCCTGTAAGGTTCTGTTCACGGCCTCTATATGTGCTCTATGGCTCATCGTGCATTCGTCCCACATAATCAATGAGGCGTCTTGTAGTAATTTACCAATAGGTCCATTTTTGCGGATGGAACATGTAGATTGTTGTTCAAGATTGACGGATAGTTGAAGTTTAAAAGTAGAATGAGCAGTTTTGCCATCCTTCAAAAGAGTTGCAGGATTCATCACAGCATCCCGCAAATGGATATATTCCTCGGACCGAAGTTTCGTCTGATTCAATCTAAGAGGCGTGACAGTATATGCAGACCTGATGCATCCGGCCAATAACGAACTTCGATTCGAGCTGTAATCAATAGTTGGATTATATCTGATCTTCTGCAAGCTGTAAACGCGCTTCAGCTACCCTTCCCCTGTCGCGTTCATTATTTTGAGAGTGAATCAAATTGCTGCAGAACGCGACTGTCTAACTCTTAATCGTTTTCTCTCAAGCCTATCTGCTCGTCTTTCTGCTGATTATTCTTTGTGCATCTGCATTGCTCTCAGCCGCTCAGTCTCTCGGATGGAGGCCCGTTCTTCGTCAGTTATATTCGTAATCTTACGTCTTTTTGCTTCTGTATTACGCTTACGACGACCCAAACTCTACTTCTTGGGTGGCAGGACTTCGTTTCTTACTGAACCTGAACAAAAAAATAAAATTTTTATCTCCAATTCCTTATTTCAATATGTTTTGAATGTTTGACAGGAAATGCTTTGGCTGCCTGTAGAGGGCGGTAGATGTAAGGTAGTTTTATTTAGAAAACGTTTGTATGGGAAATAGAAAAATACTGTTTTGAGGAATTTCCCGGCAATTAATCGAATTTTTCTCACCTTTTAAACCTTCCCTAGACCTCCACGAATAATTCAAGACCAAGATAAGATAAATCCGTTCAGCCATTCTCGAGTTTTAGCGAGACTAACGAACAGCAATTCATTTTTATATATATAGAAGATTTTTCATAACTTAAGTATAGAATTTTATAATAGTGACACTTGATTTTTTTTATTTAATGTTAAATTTAATACATTGTTATTTAAGAAGTGAGGAAGCTAAGTTTGACAGGCTTTTAGTCTGTTCGATCCAATCTTTTCTAGAAGACCTACTTATGTATGAAATACAGAACAGCTATATCATATATCTATAGATAGAATTTAAAACGTCCTTCAAAATAAACAAGAAGGGAAACTAACTTCGGGAAGCCGAAGTCTATCTACCCTTGGAGTCTTTAAATCGATATTTTTATGTGACCATTTATTGTTTAAATCGAAATTTTGTAAATATCATAACTAAGCCAAAAATGCATTAATTTAAATTCGGAAAGCTGTCATATGTTAGTTTTTAGTAGTTAAACAAATCTGCTTACCTTATTTGAAATTTAAAAAAATTAAATTTTTTGTCATTTTTTAAATTTCAAAAAATGTAGAAAATTTTTATTTTGATCGGACATGCCTAGATTAACTCAGCTTTTAATGCTGATCAAGAATATATATTATTTATGGGATCGGAAATGATTCCTAGCAGCGTTACAAGCTTCTAACTTCCAGTATAACACCATTCGTTGAACCGTTATTTATCTATATTTTATATGAGAATCATATTTTAAAAATCTTATAACTAACCAAAAATGCATTAATTTTAATTCTGAAAGCTGTCCAATGTTAGTTTCTTATAGTTTTATACATTTGCATACTATATTTAAAAATTACATTTTTATAAATTTTTGACAATTTTGACGATGCAACCCCTTATATAATTTTCAAATTTCGAAATAAAAAATTGAAAAATTATTTTTGCCTCCGAAGAAGTTTTTTTTATTTTGATTTAAATGATAGTACTCTACAAGGGAATAAAAAATTTACACCATTCCTGTGAGGGGTTTTAGCTAACTCGCGATTGATTCGTAATTCAGTATTTGTCTATAATAAAATAAAAATGTTAAGATGATTTTATTTTTTTGTTTATATATTATATACTTTATTTTTTTAATCAATAATTGTAGTACGTAAAATAACAACAAGAAAAACAAACTAAGAATTAAACTTAAGTTTATATATCTACATTTGCAAAAATATCACTTCACAACTAGTATAGGAAATAAATCTAAAATGGATGTCACATTGATGAATTGCAGACGAAAATTTGTCAGTACCCTTTAT